CTAGATATATTATTTTTAAATAGGATCTAATATAAATAATTTTGACATCTAATTTGTTGTTTATATTTTGCTACTACGTAAAAAAATGTTTACATTAAATTATTTTAAATTTTGTTGTTAATAGGTATAACAAATTATTACTGTTATTATTATTTTTATTAAACCAGTCTTTGCTTAAAAACATTAAAAATCATTTTCCTACATCCAAAATAACAAGTATTATTGCAGTGTAACAACAGAATATTAATAAAAAAATGCAAAATATATAGACATACTATCCCTAACTAACTAAAGCCAAACAATAATATTCTTTGCTAATACCAACTAATACCAATATATGGCAACAGCGCCCTTCATAATGTATTTTCTGTGTAAATACTAGCACCTCGATAAAAAAAATAATGTGTCCTTATCTTTATATGACTCCGCAAAAAATCAAAGATGCCGGCTTCTTTCATAGCATTGCCACCGACCGCTGTCGGGTTTCTCGGAAAGAAACCTACGTCGCCGGGCGACAACTAAAATCCAGTTAATATTTTATTATAATCGATCCTGACGAATAAATGAATGAATTTTATAAATGAATGGTTTTTGCTGCCGAATTACTAGAATACAATATTTCAAGGCAGATGACGCATCTATTCGATAATTTTTATTCGAATAGTTTTCAACGAATGTTTTTTTACTAGCTATCGAATTATTCGAATGAATTGCAACTATCGAATGTTTCGATAGTATTCATTCGATAGTTCCCACTACTAATTAATACTCTTTGATTCCAATATTTTAGCTCTGCTTTTAGAAAATCTGGTAATAAAATTTAACCAATACTGCCAATTAATATTAGCATTAAGTCATTTCTTAGTAGTTTACCAGTACGGTTCAAAAAAGTCAAATTAGTTTAGTTACTTTCCTCATTGTAGGACAACGTACGTATTGGTTTTGATTGTTTTATATTCAAGAAAATTGTAGAACAAAAATATGGTCTCTTGGTATTTAACATACATAGAAAAAAAATTAGTTATGCAGAAAGTTAACATAGTATCATTAGTATCATATAAAATATACTTAAACGTAGTCAAAATGTCTAAAGTAGACTATAGTTATATATCGAGTATTTCACTGGTTCACTAAGAGTTATATACTAATTAACTATGTTAATAAAATGTTATAATAATATTTACACATATAATCTTAGATATCTAAAACAACTGGACTGGGTTAATATATCTGACATATGGAAGTAATATCAATTCACACAGATGGGTTTTCTTATAAATAACATACCTATATCTAAAATTAATATAAAATTATTCTAATTGAAATTAAAACTAAATTTTTATATTATCATTAGATTTTATATATTATATGTACAGTAAAATTTACAATATTAATAAGATTCCTACGATTATATATACATGATATTTTACTAAACATAGTGTTAGACTTCTGACAACCAACTTTAAACAAAACACAATTTAAGAAGTGTTGTAGATTGATATACTAGGGGTTATAATAATATTTTATTGTAATGATTAAAATAAAATTATTATTTATTTTTTTTAAGAAAAATTGTAGATTTTTGACACGGATCTATCAAATATAACATTTTACTTTATAGTCGTTTATAGTATACAGGGTGGTGACAATTTCGACGCTCAACATTGGCATCTCAGGAACTCAATATACCTCAATATATGAAAATAGTTGGTGTATTTTAAATGACAATATCTTCAGAACTATTGTTACCTTTTGCAACGTAAGTTGGTAGTTTTACATTTTTGACTTCGGCCAATTAAATGCCGTTTTCAGAAAATTTCTAAGCCTTCTAGATTTCGCGCAACAACAGTCAAGTTTTTGTTTTCTTATGGCCGCCATTTTGAATTTTTATACTATTAGATAGAGCGAAAAAATGTCTATACGGTGGTATCTAATTTTTATTAATTATTGTATAAATTCACTAAAAAAACGTATTTTTTTTAAAAATGCGCCTAAGATCAAGTCTGCATTGGAAATCCAATTGACACTTTATATATCAGCTAGTTATTTTTTGTTTATTCTATTAAGTGTTAAATCTGGATGCACAAAAATTGTATAGTAGAGTTCAATACAGGACAGTATAAAACCTAAAATTTTATTGTCAAGAATGCCAGCCCAGACGTCCAAAGAATATCTTATTTATGGCCCGGTTTCTTTCATTAAATGAGGATTATCTTTCGCATAATAATGTGATTTTTTTTCTGTTCTAAATGTACCAGAATTTGTAAATAAAGATTCATGCCTCCATAATATTTTTCTAGAAAAAAAGGGCTCTCTTAACACTTTCCCGAAATAAAATTGTAAACTCTCGTGATCACCACAGATGTAAAAAAATGTAAATTTGGTACATATTTAAATGTAAAGTTGTGAAATTTATGTTTTTTTTAATAATTTTCCCTACATAAAAATCACTTATACAACAGTCGCGACTTATTTTACGGCTACCACTTAACTTGCGAATGCTATATCGGAATTTCTATTATTTTTTAAGTAAACATCATACATATCTCGTGTTTCTTCACTTGTGAACATATTGTGGACTGTTAATACACTTTACACTATCTACTATAAATGTTTGTGTCCAGATTTGACACTTAATAGAGTAAACAAAAATTAACTTGCTGTCATATAAAGTGTCAACTGGATTTCCAAGGCAGACTGGATATTTTGAGCGAATTTTTAAAAAATCTATTTTTTAGTGAATTTACATAATAATGAATAAAAGTTAGATACCAACTTATAGATTATTTTTTCCTCTATCTAATAGTTTAAAAATTCAGAATGGCGGCTATAAGAAAACAAATACTTGACTGTTGTTGTGCGAAATCTAGAAGGCTTAGAAATTTTTTGAAAACGGCATTTAATTGGCCGAGGTTAAAAATATAAAACTACCAACTTACGTTGCAATAGATACAATAGTTCTGAAAATATTGTCATTTAAAATAAACGTATTATTTCCATTTTTTTTTGGCGTAAATCCGAAACTAATCAAGATAACGGGGTTTTCTTCATAGGTGTTTGTCAAACTTCTAATTACGCAACTTTTGTTTCATTTAACCGAATACGTATCTCTCGTAGCTTCTGAGATGCCATCAATGTTGAGCATCGAAATTGTCACCACCCTGTATACTACTGTATAAATAAGACATATTATACAATATACAGGGTTGTTCACCACATACAACACGGAGTATTGTAGCTAAACGATTAGATTTTTACAAATTGTAAGTTCTGGGTTCCTTGAAGGACTATTAGAGCTACAATTTAAAAATATTTTTACAAGATACAGAGTGTCCCAAATAAGTAAAATATATTATAGTTGTATTTTTTTAAATGGAACAACCTATATATTATTCTATTTTTAGATTCTACGATTGAAATAAAGGTAAATTTGATTAAGGTTTATCACACTTAAACCTTACCGTTTTTGAAATATTTTCAATTTTATAAAATTGCAGTTAAAATTTTAAGGCTTCATTTCTCCAAGGGTATCAAAGTTTTTAATACTAAATATTTACTGAAGATTATTTATTGATCAGATATTGTGTTGCAATAATAAACATTTTACTACCTTATACAGAGTGTCCAAAAATTTATATTATATAATTACTAGCTTTAAACGGCAATAACTTGTTTAATTTAAATAGAACACCCTATATATTTTACGTGAATCAGATGCACAATGTAATTGTCTATCAAATTGTATTATACCATTTTTTACCCATTTCTTCAAGTTTTCGTAGAAAATGTGTTTTCTTATAATTTAGACCTCATTTATCACTATATCCATGAAATGTTGACCTTTTAGATTATTTTTAAAGATGTAACAAATTTTCAAAGAGTACAGATACTACTATTGTCGATAGAGTTCGCTTATTTCATTAAAAAATTAAAAAAAAAACTGTTTAAATATTGTTTGTTAAAAAGGACCAATTAATATGATCCCAGTATTCAAACTACATTAATTGACTGTTTACGTTGATTAATAATAATTGCTCCAAATACTAAAAAACTGAATTTTGTGTTTGTATTAGTGTGGTAAAAAGTAACACTTTAGAAATTTTATTTCATTTTTTGACGAATGTTTGTTTATAAAAACAGAGACGTTCATTTTCATAACTTATTATTATATTGATTTCTGAGCCAAATTCACATTTATTTAAAATACTTTATTAATTAAAACAATTTAAAAGTATGTAATTAACTAATTTTTGATCGGAAATAATGGTGGTAGGTATATTTAATTGGTATACTCTTTCACAAAGATTTAAATAGTTTTTTTTTGTATACCAATGGGCTTGCAATACATTTTGTATATATATGTTGCTTTAAAAAAATCTGAAATGTCAATATTCCGTAGGTATAGTGATAAATGAGGTCTAAATTATAAGAAAATGCATTTTCTACGAAAACTTGAAGAGATGGGTAAAAAATAGTATAATACATTTTGATAGACAAGTACACTGTGCATCTGATTCACATAAAATATATAGGGTGTTCCATTTAAATTAAACAAGTTATTGCCATTTAAATCTAGTAATTATTTAATATAAATTTTTGGACACTCTGTATAAGGTGGTAAAATTTTTATTATTGCAACCCAATATCTGATCAATAAATAATCTTCAGTAAATATTTAGTATTAAAAACTTTGATACCTTTGGAGAAATGAAGCCTTAAAATTTTTACTGCAATTTCATAAATTTGAAAATATTTCAAAAACGGTAAGGTTTAAGTGTGATAAACCTTAATCAAATTTACCTTTATTTCAATCGTAGAATCCAAAAATAGAATAATATACAGGGTGTTCTATTTAAAAAAATACAACTATAATATTTTTTACTTATTTGGGACACTCTGTATCTTGTCAAAATATTTTTAAATTGTAGCTCTAATAGTCCTTCAACGAACCCAAAACTTACAATTTTTAAAAATCTAATCGTTTAGCTACAATACTCCGAGTCGTATGTGGTGAACAACCCTGTATAAAATACTATCAATTTGATTGGCTTCTAATACTCCTAACAGCTAAACTCAGTAGAACTAACAAAACTCCACAAAGTAATAAATTTTACACCTATTCCACCTAGCAACTTGAAGATGTCCCAATAAAAAAGTTTCGGATCCAGTTCTGGACATAACCAATTTCTTCTGTCGTTTTAACAGCCACCGCCATATTTCTTTGTCGGTCCTCGTTCGAGATTCTCTTTTGATTAGTAATCTGAATTGTGCGGCGAAAAACTGGCCGGAGATAAAATCAGATCCGGACCTAGAAAAAAATGAAAACTGATTTTTATCTATGTTTTTGTACCTTGTGGATATAAGAAAGTCTAACCCTGTTGAATCTGTATTAGATTGAGTTATCTTTGCTACGGTTCACACTGCTTGTAAAAAAAGGATTAAGTAATATAACGTCCTCATTGTCATTTTGGACACATTTTAGGTATTGTTTCTAATAATCGTGTCTGTTTCTTAACACAAAATGGAAACCGTTTACCACACATAGGAAACATTTTCGAAACCTATACAGGGTGGCGCCTCTCATACGCCGCGGAAGCTCCAAGGAGAACGCTAATTTATATCGAAATGAAATTTTGGGAGCATACGTAGGTATCCTAACTTATATCGACTGAAAGCATTTTATAAAAATATATAGAATTATACAGGGTGTCCCCAAAAGAAGTTACACATCAAAGTTGTGTTTTTTTTTCTAATGGAACATCATATTATTTATATGTTAATTGATTTTCGGATTCTAAGAAAGAAATAAAAGGGAAATTTTGTTAAAATGAAGAGTAAATTTTAAATTTCGATAACAGCTACCTAAATTTTGGTTGATTTATTTTGCACACTGCATTCACCAACTAATAGAATCATATCAATTCTCTCTGATGTAGAATAAGTTTGCATTTTCGGCAAATTACTGGGAATTTTTTTTGGTTTAACTGACACAAAATGATAACTAGTTGTTAAAGTTGGACTAATTCAGACTAATTAGACAGCTATGTTGAAGTAACGTCAGACCATATCACAGCCACCTAGATTTTATCAAATAACAAAGATCCACTCAGATCAAATCATGTAAATGAAAATATCTAGGAAAATCTTTGTTTGAGGGGTAGGCAACCTTAATAGTGTTTTGAAGAGGCATGAATTCTCCATTGAATATCGGAATAATATACTGGGTGTTCCATTTAAAATAAGAGAGTAACATGCTTTTAAATTTGACCAATGTTCAATATTAATTTTGTCTCACCCAGTATAACTTTTTGGATCAAGTTTTAATTTGATTTAAAGTACAGTAGTTAATTTAACTACATATTAGGCTATTCAGGGTAAATTCTAAGTTAGGTAGCTTTTATTGTAATTTAAAAATTGTTCTTTATTTCTAGAAAATGTTAAATATGTATGTCAAAAACCTTACATTTTAGTCATATACTTCTCTCATAAAACTCACCTTTATTTTTCTTGCAGAATCCGAAAATCAATTAATATATAGGGTGTTCCATTACAAAAAAAAAACTTTCATATGTTACTTTTTTGGAGACACCCTGTAGAACTCTCTATATTTTTAAAAAGTGCTCTGAATTAACCTACATATGCTCACAAAATTTCATTTCAATACAAACTGTCGTTCTCCTTGGAGCCTCCACAGCGTACGAGAGGCGCCACCCTGTATATTTTATATGATATGGCTTTATTACATGTGTTCCCAATGTGGTGGCACTAGCCGTTTCCTGAGATGTTTCGATGCGGAATCACAACTTTTAGAAAAAATGTTTCAAAACATTTTCTGCAATTTGTGTCCAAGATGTTCCAGTTTTCAGCAGCCACTGTTTCTAAATGTGAAAAAACAAAATACCAAACTAAAATAGTTTTTGTCTGAGTGTGGATTTAAAAATGAGAAGAACCATCAACAATGTCGACCCATAATCTTTGTCTCCTAAAATCTTTGTTTTTAGGTTTTCTCGCATAAAAAAGAAACTGGGAAAAGCAAATTGATCGTTTAATTTAATAATGTACTTTAATATTTTTAATGCTCCTTCTATATCTCATTCTTATTTTTATTTGGATAACATGGTTCTGAAAATAAAAATATATAAATTAGTGTAAGTAGAACGCGTTCTTATGAGTTTAAAAGCTCAACAGCCCATAAAAACCTATATTTTTAGTTAAAAACGATGGCGGTCAACATGGCGGAATTTTAATTCATTATTTTATAAAATTGACATGGAGTCGGACACAAATCGTCTACATTATATATCTCTATTCTCTATTTGTGTCTAAAAAGAGAGAAATTTATGTTTCAAAAATGAATCGACAATAAATGGAAACCTTGTTTCCAAAATGTTGCGATTTAGCGCTTCTGTGTAGAAATTTCGAACTAGTCACTAAATTTGAATTTATAATTCTGTTATTAATTTTTTTAGCTCAATACCATTTATTAAGTTATCAAGGTATCTATCAAACAGAGATAATTTCTTACGTCTCTGAAACATTATGTTTGCTTTCGAATTTCTTAGCGTATTCGATAATACTTGACGTTGCATTTCAAATTATTTACTTTCGAGTTTACTCTCCAAACTTTGCTTAACTTTAAAATTAAAGTTCGGAAGAACTCTTATAAATCGTAATAACTTTTATACGTTGATTTATACACGTGCGAATAAAATTTTAAAATCTTATAATACATGTTTAAGGAGAGTTTTTCACTTATTACTATTATGTCTGATAAAAATATAGATATTGTTTGTTATCAGATTTTCATATTTTACTTAAACACTTGTAGTCGGCGTCCCTGACCTCTTCTACTATCAATTTTGCCCTGCAGTATTAGTTGGATAAATTGGTATTTATCATTACGCATCATATTCCCAGGGTATTCCATTTTTCTCACTATCTCACCAGGTATAATTTCTAGTTCCTTTTGCATTCGTTGGATCACGGTGTTGTTTGTGACATGGTAAGTGTACGAAATAAGCGTTTAGATGTAGCATCTGTCAAGGTCCAAACTTCCACCCCATATAGGAGCGGAAAAATACTATCCATTTTCATAAAATATCAGAATGTAAAATACCTTAAACCAAGTTTCAATATTCCCTACACGCTTTACATATACGCATTTTATCTCTCGGATTATCTCAGATTCTAATGATTTGCGACAGTGCCGCCTTTAATTTATCAGATTAGACAAGGAGGAAAATTGCGTTCTGCTGGCATAATAAGGAAAGGATGGAGGAATGATAATGTTTTAGGTTAAAGTTTGCAAAACGGCACCATTCTGTTTAGTGCTTGAGTAACTCACAGGGGGTAAAACGGGTTATACAGTTCCTTAGTTAATTAGAAAAGAGAGTTATCAGGTAATGTCATTTAACACTACATTTAATAAAATTCAGATAAGTCCTAAATTTGTCGTTTATTATATGAATAACAAAGCCTTAATAAAGTGTTTTATATACATGGAGTATTGATATAAGGGATACCAATTAAACTTTTAGTTACGTCATCAAGAGCCCATTTTTTTAAATTAAAACCTTTTGCAACACAAACAACACACGTAGTTTCAGAAGTGTATTCGCCATTTTTCACAATTTATTAAAACATTCCAAATATTTTTGCAAATCTATCATTTTCAGCTTATTCAACCATTTTTAATTATGGTGTTGCCTCCCTTACATATTACATACTCTCTTTGTAGTTAAATCTACTGTTAGCTATGCGGGATCAAGTTATCCCTGCCAATTTCCTAATATCATGATCCCATCTCAGGTTCGGTCTTCTTATAGGTCTCTTAATTCCTCGTAGAGAGATAAACTTAAATGGCAATGGGCAGATGTCCTGCCCATTGTCATTTAAGGATACAAAATTAATAAATCAAATTAGTCTGTAATTCTATATCCGTCCAATATACCTCTCCCGAGATATACGTCGCTTATGTTGGTGAAAAGTCTGTTGTTCTGCTGTTTACATTTCAATCTAAATATGAAATGATACATGGCTGGATAGGGAAAGTATATAATGGCATTTTTTTGGAGAAGTTGATTTTAAGTATGTAAAAGGAGGAGTGTACATGTTGTGTTGTTGAAATGAGGATAATTTGATGAGCATAGAAATATACTGAATTGCTGATCTATAAACGTAGCGATTGTGATGTGGGATTTTTACATTTGAAATAGAGAGAAGACTTTTTTGAGGAGATAATTAATACTGTCGTATCAGGTCTAATAGCCTTTTTGTTGCTTGTTTGGAAAATATAATATAGATGACTTCTGAACACTTCTTATATATACTATATGCGTCTCATATATTTAAAAATCGTTGCGATCCTGTTTTTCTGCTTACTTTTCTAAAAATGATAAATGGTTGACTATACAGGGTGGAAGATAATAGCAAAACAAGGTATTGACAAGCCTTATATAGAAACACTCGCCAATATATAGGTACAAAGAAACCAAAGCAAGAGTAATGATATATAAAACAACCCCAGAGTTCCCAACTGGCAAAGGAATATGAGAGGGTGACGCGATATTCCTTTGCCAGGTAAATGGGACCAAGCCTTATAGAATACATATATAGTAATGCCACCCCAACTGTAAAACTTCACGAAACAACAGATAAAATTGAGGTAGGCAGAGGAGTTTGATTGATTGAATTGATTTGAATTGAGTTGCAGATGTCCTGCCCATTGCCATTTAAGGGATTTACCCATAGACTTAGAATAAAATATAGACTACACTATTTACATTTAAGCGCGGTCAAATATTAATTTTTGTAAACATGTTTACTCCTGGGTGCAGCTGACCTCGGCCGTCTGAGTCTTTCGCCTCCAGCCTATGTTGTCACGTCTAAAATATTATTAATATTTTTTTTGTTGTTATACACATATATTGAGATATTAAAACTGTATTTTAATAAAGTAGTGTTTAATAGTAGAAAGATGTATTAAATAGTCCCTATACTACTAAATTATAAGTCGGAGACTATTTAAAAATGACAAATTCTTTACAATTTGGCAACACCCATCAATCGCCGGGTCGCCTGTTCATTCTTTATTCTCTCGTAGTAGAGCCATAGTAGAGTAAAGCACGTGTCGTAAAACCTTGTTGTCACAGTTTCTCCATGGCTATTTTATTGTTTTTATTGGATGTTTTGATTTTGTATTTTTTTGGAGTCGATTTTCTTAGTGTGTAGTGTCGGTTTAGTGTTTATTTTGATTACTTTTTATTTAAAAACTATAAAACATGGTTCGTCAGTGTCAAATTTGTAAGA